TCAATATCAAGTGACACCAAAATCACAAGAACAATCGATAAATAATGATCCCGAAAATGATGCACATATAATGCCTTACTGAAGAACAGAAAAAATTTTGAAGACATCAATAACCATATAATAATTAACGGAAAATATATGATCAAATGTTTGGAATACTTTTGAGATGTTTTTGTATCAACCTAATTTTCGTTGTTTCTGATGTTTATAATTTTTAGTCTGAAGGTTAGTTGTCAAAGGATGTTATGTTCTTGCAAGATTTGTTTTTATTTTTATTTTTTGTTTCAATTTACAAGGATCAAACTTTAGATTCACCGTGAATTGACTTTATCAACCTTATTCTTCATGAAACCTGTGATTTGTCCTTTTTACTTTTGAAAATTTCCCTCAAACCGACTTCTCCATTTTTTAATTTGTTACAAGATGATTTTTTTGATCAACCAATATGATTGATTTTTCATTCATCGCGTAATTTAATAAGAAATATCTTTGGTATTTTTACTATATTTTCGTTTGTTCAAATGTATTATATTGTGTATATGACCTGTTAAAAAAAAAACCAATTGTGCCGTTGTTTTTAACAATATTTTGATTACAGCGTTAAATTAGCATTATGTTTAACGCGTAAATCCTTTAAGCAATGCGCTGTGTAATTCTCGTATTTTTTATTTTATCTATTATCACAATAACAAATTCAAATAGATTTAAATGCAATGATACAATAAATAACGATAAACAATACTAGCAAGTACCATGTACAGTATACAGTATAATTGATAAATAAAAAATTAAATAAAAAAATATTGTATTTATGGTATGTTAAGAAAGTCTTTGACAATAATTACACATCCATTTGTAGTTGTAACTTAACAAATATTTAATAAATTTTTGTATACATATTTTTAAACATGTAAAAATTAGAAATTTTTTAAAATGCAGTATTTATATTAACCACGGCATTATGCATGTCTTTGAAAGATTAAGCCTTATACAGATATATTTTATATATTTTTATTTTTATTTATTGATTTGAAAAGATAAAAATACTTTTCTATTAATTCTTTTGTTATAATTTTTTTTGTAATAAAATCTATTTATTTTCTTTAATAATATTATTTTTTATGGTTTTTTTCACTTGTTTTTTTTTTCCAATAATCAAACAAATATATTTGAAGTTTATTTAATATTAATATAAATATATATTAATTAGATTACTTTTATGCACAAACTCTAGATTTTATACTTGAATATTTATTTTTGATAAATTATTGCTAAATATGATTTTGAAAATAAATAAAATTGTTTATTTTTGCTTATTTGTTCAAAAGTAAATATTGAAATTATTATCTAAAGTTTATTACTATAGTTTGTTTTGATAAAATCTTAATTTGTTCTTATGATTTAAAATTATTATATTAAATAAATATAAAATCCATTTTTATTAAAATAATTAAATTATAATATTAATTGTTTTTATGAAATTTTTATCTAATATACAATATATATTAATTTAAATAATATAAATTTATTTTTAATAATTTATAAACTATAAATCAATCTTTTAAATTTAATATTTATTGTAAAAAAAATATAAATAAGAATTTATTAAAACTTTTATTTTATATTATATAATTTGAAATATTTATATTGTATTTTTTTTCAAAAAATTTTGAAATATCCTATATATTAATTAAGAGATATAACAAAGTTTATACTGAGAATTTGGGAAATTGGCTTAATTATTAAAATAAAAAATAACAGATATTTTTTTATAATGTAGATTGCATTTATAGTATACATTTAATGGATGGAGTTTTTTATAAGAAATTCTAAAAAAAATTTTTTTATAAACTTTAATTGGTTGATAATAATGATACAGTAGACAAAAAAAAAATGACAATTTTCTTTCATTTATAAAAAATTATATTGTAAAAATTTTTTTTATTAAATTAATATTAATAGAATTATATATGATTTTATTTAAATTTATTATTTTTAAATTTGATTTTTTTATTAAGTTCAAATATTTAAAAGTCTATATATTTAAAATTTTATTAAATATTCTAAAAAAAAAAATTTTATAACTCTATAAAATTACAAATTAAAAATAATTATTTTTTAAAAATTTTTTAAAATTTTTATTATTATATAAAAAAATTTTAAATAATAAATTTATTATAAGATAGAGATTTTAAACTTATTTACAAATATTAAATAAAATTTTTTGATTATATATATAATAATAAAATAATAATAATAATTAATTATATTTATAATTATTATAATTATTTTTTATAATGTTGCAAAATTTTAATTAAAAAAAATATTTATAAAAATAATAATGTAATAACTATATATAATTTTTTTTTATACAAGATTAAAAAATTCAAAAAAATTCAAAAAAAATTATTTTATTTTTAATTTTATAAAGTTATAAACTCTTTTTAAATTATTTTTATTTAAATAATTAATAAGGTTTTTAATTTATTGACTTCTTAATATTTGAACTTAATAAAAAATAATATCAAAAATTAAATAAAATCATATATACTGTAAGTCTATTAATATTAAAAAAAATATTAATATTATTTTAAAATAGTAATAAATTAATTTTTAATTAATATTAATACTAATTTGATAAAATTTTTTATAAATGAAAGAAAATTGTCATTTTTTATTGCCACTACTGTAAGTAAAAATAATTACCAATCTAAAAAATTTACCATACTTTATTATTCTTTTTTATAAAACATCTTAATCAAGAAATGGATAATAGACGTTATTATCATTCCACCCAAAAAAGCACGGACGTCATTGATATTAATATAATTCGACCCTCCTCTTTTTACTAACCTATTTATCATCTTTTTATTTTTTCTATTTTGATTTTGAAGTAACTGTGAAATATCACTAATAGGTTTCTCGAGAGGATAATTTTCAAGGTCATGCTTTAAATCATGAATGTCGGTAAGAAGCAATTTATAAGGTGAACTCTTCGCGTATAATAATGCTGCATTGGTATAACCATCCTTTCTTGATACAACAAATACTCCAAAGACTTCACTCCTATTATACCTAAAAAAATTTGGTTTAATAGCGTGAATATTAAATAAAAATTTCTAGGTATTAAAAAAAGTTACCTTGATAGCGTTCCTTCGAATTCTTTAATTTCATTTATTCCAACATAGTCCTTACATAGAACTAAAAGAGAATGTTTTTTATAACTTCCAAAGATATCCATACCACTGTCTCCGTCTGGTGACCTATAAGTAAAAAAGAGAAACAAAAATAAATAAATTTTTTTATTGCAACAAAATAACCCAGGTTTATAAACTAAATCATTCTATTATGACCATAAAAAAGCCTTCGGATCATAAGGCTAAGCAGAGAATGAAATTCACTAAATATTAAAAACATGTCTCACCAAGTGCGCCGAACAAAAAAGTTCATTGTTTTCAATACATTGAAAACACGTAATTCGAATGAAGAACTTTCCTCTATTGTTGAAGCAACTTGAGAAGACATACGTTGAAGTTCTTATAAATTTTTTATATGTGAAGTAGATGTGAACAGAGATATTTTTCGATAGTGTAAAAAGTTTTTTTTTTCGTGTTTTTATGTTTCCAATTTTTGAGTTGTAAAACGAAAACTCGTGATAAAAATGCAATAATAACATCATAAATACATCCGAGTAGATCCACCAACCAAAATTACTTGATCAATACTGTATATAATAAATAAGTTTTCAGATATTTCATTTACTAGTACGTCAGTGCTAACAGATAGAAAGATGCTTTATTTCCAGTTTAATAGTTTGTTTTTAGTAACCCTTCTTGAAAAGTGAATGTAAATAATACTGTATTAGTCTTTTCTATTAAAAAAAAATTATAATTAATTATTTCCAATAACCCTAATTTAGAAAATTATTTCTATTTTCATATTGGTACTAACTTATACACCGCCTACAAGCAAATCGAGATTCTGGTGAGTCAGAATCGTTATGACACCGTAAGAGATTTACAAGCAAAAAGAAAAAGCACAGGAGGTTACAGAAGCGGAGGAGAAAAGAGGAGAGGTTCGTCTTATATTACTATCATTTTCTTTCGAGTTGTTTTCCCTTGATATTTTATTAAACGCATTTGTTTCTTTAGGGCATAAAAAAAAAACCTATGGTATTCTAACGTATTGGTGGCTACCGAATATTTTTGATGGGATATCTTGCAGATCACCAAAAAAAGAGACTCGAGAGGCATACGAATTGACCTTAGCATTCGTTCATCAATACCTCGGTGATCAAGCTCAAGATATAATTTGAAGTGCTGCAGACGACATTCTGCAAATTTTTAAAATTATTTACGCAAGGATTTTGACAAGAAAAGAGATATCGAATCGGTCATTGATACCATTGCACCAGATAGATTTGCGCAGATAGTGAATCTGAGGAAAAACAACAGATTATTATCCTGGGATGCTATGAATGACGGTGAACTTTCAGGCGAGGTTGCTAATGAAATTGGGGTTGCCGTAGTATTTGATAAAGAGGAGAATGACGATGAAGGTGGTGTGGAAGCATTGACAACAGGAGTATGGGCGTTGGTCAAGTTGAGGATGATGAAGATAGAGAGATTCATTCAGATGAAGAAAATGTAGGGTTCCGAATTACTATTGGTCCAGATACTGCCAAATTAAAGGTCACTGCATGATATTAATGCCTTCTGGCTTCAGCATCCAATATCAAATTACTATTCAGATCCACATGCCGCATAAGAAAAGACGGCGAATACTATGCAAATACTTGAATCTGGTTGAAATACTCGTGAATGTGAAAATGAAATAATGAAGCTTTCTGATGATGATAAATTCGATTTGGTCAATTTGACAAGAAATAGGGAATCAATTTTATGGTGAACGAAACTTGCCAAAGCTAGAACAGACAACGCTAAGGGACAAAGTGCAAGGATTTGAATGAACTAATAAACTTGGAGGAGAGAGAATTCGTCGTGATGAAGGTGCCGCCTGGAAAGGTGTAGTTGAGAACGCAATGGAAATAGATGATAAACCTACCAGAACATGGTCTAATTTCTGTTTCTGTCAAGGATACTTTACCTTCAGCAACGACGGCAATACCTAAAGTTGTAATTGATCCCGAATTGTTATTGTTTATACAAGTGGACATTTAATGTCTAATAAAAGTGCAAGCTGTTAAAATGGATCTCATAAGATTTCTAAGATCTGCGGCACTTGTGCGTCACCTGTGCAGGTGCACTTACAATGATTTCAAGTGAAATTTCCGAATTACGGAAATCCCTTACATTATATACGATATCACGTGTTTAATATAAGACTGACCAGATATTTTTCTATCGTTTTAATAAATTTCTCAAAAACTAAACTAAAAAAAATATACACTCAAAGGATCGTCACGAATTCACGAAATTTACGCGAAATTATTTTTATTCTTTGTTTTATAAATTTTATTTCTTTGTTTTATTTTTTTATTTTTTTATTTTTTTTTTTTAATTACAAACATTATTTGCTTTATTTTTTCCGATTTTCGATTTTCGCTTTTTGATTTCCGGCTTTCGAATTTCCACATACCGGAAATAAAATCCGAAAAATCTATTTAAACAATATAAATAACTATAGTACGGAAATTTCACTCGAAATCATTGTAAGCGCACCTGCACAGGTGACGCACAAGTGCCGTAAGGGTAGTGCATAAAGAACACCCCCTCTGCGGCCGAAAATAGCAACTAAAACTTTGCTGTATGCAATAAATTCTTTATTAATCTTTAATATGATTCAATAATTTTTGCTATCAAATAAAACAAAATACATAATAAAGTCATTATAACAGATAAAAAAATAATGTCACTAGTATCAAAATAATTATTTCTAGACATTTTTGCTTCTTTTTTTAATTCAGAAATCCTCATATATAATTCATCTTCTCTTTTTTTTTGTTTTATTTTTAGAAGAATGTTGTCGATAGGTCTTTCAAGAGAATAATTTGAAAGGTCATGTTGCAAGTAATCAATATTAGTCAACAGCAATTTATGTGGTGAATCCTTTGCATATAACAACGCTGGAGTAGTATAATCATTTCTTCCAGACACAACTAAAACTCCAAGTGTTTCATTCTTATTATATCTAAGAAATATAATTTAGTAATGAAAAACTTTAAATAAAAATTTTCAAATATTTAAAGAATTACCTTGAAAGGACTCCTTCGAATATTCTTATATCACTTTTTCCAACCTTTGCAGTAGATTTCTTGCATTGAACTAAAAGAGCATGTTTTTTGTAAATTCCAAAAATATCAATGCTATTGTTTCCATATGGACTATAAGTAAAAAAGAGAAACAAAAATAAATAAATTTTTTTATTTCAAGTATATATAACAAATAAATTCATAATAAAATATAAAACATGTCTCACCTAGTGAGCCGAACATAAAAATTCATTGTTTTCAATATATCAAAAACACTTAATACGAATGGAGAAGCCATTTGAGAAGATATACGATTGAAGTTTTTATAAATTTTTTATGTGAAGTTGATATGAACAGAGATATTTTTTCGATAGTGTAAAAAGTCTTTCGGATCAGATTATATAATGTTTCGCGTTTTTACGTTTTCAATTTTTAAGTTGTGTAACTATATCGCCATTATAATGGCGTAATTATAGTAATTATAATATGATGATCACCATTATAATGGTGTAATAGATAAACAGTGGGCTATAGTACCCCAGAAATTTTTTTACTTAATTTGTATAATACCCGGGGGTATTATAACGCTTTTTTTTTGCTTATTTATAGCGTATAGGGAAAAGAAAGTAGAGCTTACCACGAATCCAAATCGAATAATTTAAACAATTTAATATACGAATCAATTTTAATAATTCAGCAATGTTAATTCGAATATCGAATTAG